GCTGGACTCTAGTATATTCCCCAAGAACAGTGTATGGTCTTCCGCCAGGTGATATCGAAGGTGTTTGGTGCTTTCACAGAAATACCAGAGATGGTATACAGGGCATAGTTCTTTACTATTCAGAGCTCCTAGTTTAGATGACTTGCTTTCGGACTCTTTGGGTGACCTTGCAATAACTGTTGTACCAACCAGAGTTCCTGTGGTGTCATACTGGAAATGGACATCTCTAAATTGTAGCTTGCCTATATCGGAGCGAGGTCTCCACATAGTTGCCATTGTCACCAAAAGTAAGGTCTTCTGCTGAAGCTTGTCCAAGGGGAGAGAGTCAATTGTGCCCCAACCTACGATCATTGCAATGATAGGCTGAAGGTCATATATTTCTTGATTACTATTGGGAAGTCTACAACTCTTTCTTCGTTTTGCTTGGAAGAATTGAAGAATCAACAAGTTAGACGCAATAGCTGGTTTTTCTGGATGAATGACCTTGAAGACTGAGGCAATTGCTGATCGCATACAGTTTAGTTGCTGAATCGATAGTTCTTTGTGTTGTGTCAAGAACTCTACTATTCTAATTGGCTTATATTCCAAAGGATCTTGACTTGGTTGTTGGTTAACACACCATGTAGCCCATCGCTTCCATTGTATATCATAGTTCTTGTGAGTGTTGCTGTTGTTGGAAGCTTGAAGGTAGTTGATAGTGTTCTCATCCAGTAGCGCTTGTTCTATTTGGTACGACCTGATAACAGCCATGCGGTCAAGGACCATTGCCTGCATAATTTGAATGTTATTGGCATCGTCAGGCTTTGTTGTAGAACCACTGGCCACCAGTATTGGCTCTTCCAACTCGGCGTGATAAGAACCGCTTTCTTTACTCGGCCGGCTTTCAACTTCCTTAATACTTTTGGAATGAACTTCCAAGGTGGGTGCAAATACAAACCTGTTTTCATCCAGCGTTGGTTCCAGGCGTTGGTTACTTCTGCTTGTGGATCCGGATTTTGGCTCCAAAGCCGAGGTAATCTCGTATTCTCTCTCGTAGCGAATGCATCTAGTTGTAGAGGTCCCCATGTTCCTTGGATCATCTTGAAAAAACGTCTCGGCAGCTTCCATTCGTACAGTGGCTTTGCCTTTCGACTTAGCTGATCGGCTTTTACGTTCTTTATTCCTTGTATATGCTGATACTGTACCTGCATATTGTATTTCGCTGTGACTTCTTGAATGTCGAGCGCGAGTTCTTGTAGCCACGGGGAGACTGCCCCTCCTGACTTTCTTGCGTACTTGAGGGCTGTGATACTGTCTGAGAATATCTTGGTCACCGCCCCTTCGTACTCTCTTGCGTGGAGTTTGAGTGCAAATAGAATCGTCTTCAGCTCTCTCACTTTGATGGACTGTTCTTTTTCGTGTGGTGTCCAGAACCCTGATGTTTCTACATGGGGAGACGCTACACCCCATCCCGTGTCTGAGGCATTCACAAAGATTTCCACCTCTGGTTCCTTCTGTTGTATTTGGATTTGGATAGGTTTAAACAAAGTAGAAAATACGATGAGACTGTGTTGTATCTTTATTCAGAATAAAGTGAAAAGAAAAGAGATGATAGCACAATCTATAATTATATATTAAGAAGCTGAGGTATTTAAACTGAGTTGGCTATATTTGATTAAGGTGTAACAGATCTTATAGCAGCATTAGGTTCAACTCTAGATATTGTATTTAAGCACTGAATAGTAGCGTGGATACCACAAGCTGATTGTTTTGATTTTGTTGATAATTTCGTACATCGTTACTGTAATCAGGTCTTCCATTATATCTGTTGTAGTTATCTCGAGCACCATAGTTTCGATTGTACTGATAATTACTGTTGCCATACTGATTTCTGTTATAACGATTAAAGTTGCGTGAGTTTTGGCCACCATTTTGTTGATTATTCAATTCATGACGAATTGTTTGCTGAATCAATTCAATCAAACTTTGTTGCTGACCTGTACCCATATCTTGCTGTCCATGTATATTGTTGTTCCTCTTGATGTCCATCGTTGCTAACTGATTCATGGCTAAGTTTTCTGAATAAACATTCCTATGAGAGGATATTCCACTGAATTGTAAGTTGTTGAGAGGTATTGCTGACATTGTATATTCGTTTGGATCGACTAATTCAATATTGTGATTATTATTATGTTGCTGTGAGTAGTATGGTGTATTGCTGTGATAAATCAATGCTTGGTTGGCATTTCTAGGAATGAATGGGTTGTCCACCATGGCTATTTTTCGAGGTCGATTCGCATTCCACCATCCTTCGGCATGAGTCATCCAATCCTTTAGGGTTTTGGAGCTACATTGGATGCAGAATAATTTGATTTCTCTAATTAATCCAGTCCTGAATCTACTTTCGATAATAGCTTCATTATCAATGTTGGCTAATTCAGCTGCGGCTTGAAGTCGAGATAAGAAGATTCTAGGGTGTTCCTGATCTCCTTGTTGCATATCACTGAATTCTAATTCATATTTTTGAATCAATTCAGGTGTAATGTAATGATTCTTGAGATGTTCAATAGCTTGATCATATTTAAGGTCAGGTGTTTTCCTAAATACGTCTTTTTCAAAGTGTATCTTTGCAGGACCTTTCAA